GAAATTTTAAATAGAATGAGTGGTCGAGTGATACCTTATTTTGAAGCTATTTTTATGTAGATTATAACCCCTGAGTTTCACATCGTTACTATTTACCTAGCCATTACAGGGGCCAATTAAAGCTACAAAAACATGTTGGGATATTTTGTATTTGAAAAAATGCTTTAAAACCAAAATCAATCAAGTAAATGCTGAAAATGACCCCAGAAAAAAAAATTTAACGGACTTAAATCTGGAGAACGTGGGGGCCACTCAATAGCTCGTCTTCTTCGAATCGATTGTCCTGGAAACGTTTGGTCCAAATATTGACAAATCACTGCAGCATAGTGGGGTGGCGCACCATCTTGTTGAAATATTAGACGGTTTTTCATGTATCCGTTATCATTCTCTAGTATCTCCACCAATTCTGGATGAATCGCATCTTCTAACCACTCTGGATACATTTCTCCTATTAAATTTATAGGTAAAAGAGGGACCACGGTTACCCAAAATACTAGCTCAAACGCTCAATTAATCTACATTTCCATAACGCCCTAGGACGTTATTTCGCACGTATTATACCTGGAAATACAGGGCTTCCATTTCAAAAATTGCCACCCACGTTATCTGCGTAAAGAGGCATATTTGCAGAAATCGCCAAAACCCGTCAACTGTATTGAAGGGGAAGGGTTTTTACGTAAAACTGGACTTCGCCCCTTCAACCCTCTAAGCCCTAGGGCTACCTTCCCAAAATTTTTGAATGAAACAGGGGGTCGAGTTAGTGTTTCATTCAAAAATTTTGGGGAGGTAGCCCTAGGGCTTAGAGGGTTGGAGAGGCGAAGTCCAGTTTTACGTGAAAAACCTTCCCCCTCAATAAATTTGTTGACGTGTTTTGGCGATTTCCGCAAATATGCCTCTTTACGCAGATAACGTGGGTGGCAAGTTTTGAAATGAAAGCCCTGTACTTCCAGGTATAATACGTGCGAAATAACGTTCTAGGGCAGCGGTTCCCAACCGGTAGGTCGCGACCCCTAAGGGGGTCGCATAGGGTTTTTGGAGGGGTCGCAATGCCAATATCAATACATATTTTTCTGCATTTGGCAACACGCCTTAGCCTCCGCCTCAAAAGACGCGCAGCGTTGCATTGACCTTACGGATGAAGTGCATAGCACAGGTTTTGAGTCACACGTTTTTCAACATAAGTAGCTATGCAAAATGGCTGAAGCATCAGAAACAGAAATTGTAGGGAATCCAAAAACAGAAAATTGGTTATCACCTTCAATCCCTTGAGAATGAAATGGGCGTTATTTTCTCGATTTATCTGAACAAAAAGCTGCAGTAGTGAGGAACCCATTCCAAGCCTCGTTAGATGTTGCCGACATTCCCGATGAAGTGCTGGATAAATTTTTAGACCTGAGGAATGATTCCACAGCACCTGCCTATTTCAGGCAAAATTCTTGACTGAAATTTGGTGTGCGATGCATAGTTCATATCCTCATATCGTCCTGCATGTGCTTTCTTTTCGGATACTTATACCATTTGCCTCTACCTACCTTCGAAATTGGTTTTTCAACTCTTTTGCTAATGAGAACAAAGGCCAGAAATAGATTGGGCGTTCAAGATGACATAAGATTGGCTTTAACAAAAACTCAACCAAGAATTTCAAAACTTGTTACCGTTATGCAGGCTCAGTCATTACATTAACAAAATAAAAATTGCCTTTTTGTATTTAGTTACGAAATATTAATGTTTTTGTTAAAGATGTCTCGAATAACTGAAATATTGGTTTTTATTTATTAATGAGTAGGGGGTCGCGACCTTATGAGCAAATCTATAAAAGGGTCGTGACTAAAAAAAGTTTGGGAACCACTGTTCTAGGGCGTTATGGAGATGTAGATTATTTGAGTGTATGGGCTAGCATTTTTGGTAACCGTATAATAGGCCCCTCTTTTACCTATAAATTTAACAGGAGAAATGTACCTCGAGTGGTCAGAAGATGCGATTCATGCAAAATTGGAAGAGATACTAGAGAATGATAACGGATACATGGAAAACCGTCTAATACTCCAACAAGATGGTGCTCCACCCCACTATGCTGCAGTGGTTCGTCAATATTTGGACCAAATGTTTTCAGGACAATCGATTCGAAGGAGAGGAGCTATTGAGTGGCCCCCAGGTTCTCCAGATTTAAGCCCGTTAGATTTTTTTTTCTGGGGTCATTTCCAGCATTTACTTGATTGATTTTGGTTTTAAAGCATTTTTTCAAATACAAAATATCCCAACATGTTTTTGTAGCTTTAATTAGCCCTTGTAATGGCTAGGTAAATAGTAGCGATGTGAAACTTAGGGGTTATAATGTACATAAAAATAGCTTCAAAATAAGGTATCACTCGACCCCTCATTCCATTTAAAATTTTGGGGGCCCTTGTCACCCTAGCTAGGGCTTTGCCCCCCAGGTGGTGAAAATGCCAAAAAAATGGTTCCCCCTTAAATAAAAAATCGACGGGTTCGAGGGTTTTTTCTTAAATCTCTTGAGGAACCCAAAATCACCTCTGTTTCGTTTTCAAATGGCCACCCTGTATAATACCTATGTGAATCCAAGATTGATCCAATATGCCCTTTTATTCATGTTTATATTTAATATTTATCCAAAATTGGTGATATATAGGAGATGTACCGTTTCCATATCAATCAGGACTACCGAGAGAGGGCACCACGCGCTACTGATGGCCTTGCTCTTTCCTGGTGTTTGAATTTCCTTCAAAACTGTTTCTTTGAGTTGGTGTGCTTCGCTAACAAGCTCGAAATCGGAAACCGGTCTAGTTTGCAGGTGTTAGAGCTTTGGTTAAATACATGTGTTTTTCCAAAAAAATATTGTAAATATTTCTAGGAAATATTGTTAATAGAAATATTTCATATTTATTAATTGTTAATATTGGAGAAATCTGAAAAACAAATATTGGGTATAATTCTAAAAGCAATATTACATGTTTATTAATTATCAATAATGGGACAATGTTTTTCTTCAATATCGGATTCATATTTACAATATATATTGGACCATTAAAAAAAAATCAGTCGTTTCCATTCTTGGGCCAATATGTAAATATAATATTTTACCAATATTGTTGTGCTACTGGGGATGAGTTCAAAATATGGACTAAAAAGAGTTTCGAGCATTGAATGCTGTTCAGAGGCGGCGCGTGGCTCCAAAAAGTGGGGGGGCTGAAAAAGAGCGCCGGAGGCCGGGTGCCACGCCCAAAAACGATTATTTTGAGGTTTCAAAACAAATTTTCTGTACTACCGACATTTTATTTGACATGGAAAGTTTTTGGATTACTTATTTCCCTCCCTGAGTGACGTCACAATAAGTAACAAGTCCCCACAAAATTTGTCTTCATAAAGGATTTTCTTGGAAACTATTTTGAATATAGGACTGCGATTTCCACGAGAGATTTTAGATTTTTTTTTGGGTCACACCTCCTTTAAGGAACACAAATCGACGTTTATTTTTTGCCTGCGACTCTGACTGTAGCTGGAATTTAGGATTTTTTGCAATCTCTATTTTTTTTTGTTGAAATTATGAATAAAAAATTTCATGAAATTCACTAAAATGTTGCACCAATCTTAATGGGTTCGTTTAGGATCGGCTAAAATACGCACACATAGCTTGCACATACGCACTGTATTCGGAGCAAATGGTCCCAGGTTCGATTCTCGTTGAAAGCCATCCTTTTTTTTCAAGTTTTGCTTTTTCTTAGGGTTTTTTATTTTTCTTCTAAAGAATATTCAGAAGACGGGTTAGTTTGGATTAGCTCTGTTTGGCATTACTTTTTTTTAAGTTTTGCTTTTTTTCTTAGGATTTTTTATTTTTTTTTTGAGGATAATTACGAGGACAGGTTAGTTTGGATAAGCTCTAATTTCGTTTAAAATACCAAAATATAAAAACTAGCCCTTATCACGAATTACGGTGAAGCTCCGTCTGTCTGTTCCCCAGACTATTGTGTTTAACAACAACTGTGGAGGGTGGTCAAATTTTCAGGGTTTTTGTTTTTTTTTCCATAGCTTTTGCCATAATTCATATCAATATGCTAAATTTCAGCCTGCTAGCATATTTGGAAGAACCTTAGAATTTTGATGATGTATACATGAGTGAGTGACAAAATTGGCGTTTTTTAAGGCCATTTTGTTGGTTGATGGAAATCGATTAAATTTAATTATTACGTCTATAAAGGTCTACGACTGTGCAGATTACATCAATTGGTAACCAGGTTAATCGGATCAGCAGCGCCAAATTCTGCGGAATGTTTCCTGTAAAAAAGTCACATAGGAAACATTCCACCGTTCCTATAGAATATGTTTTACTGGATACATTTTCCACAGAAAACATTCCATAAGAAATTCCTGCAGTGATAAGGAATGTTTAATTTAAAATGGAATATTGCTACAGATTTTTCTTTGGAATCTTTCCTCCTAAAGTGTAAATACTGTAAAATCTTTCAACTTTTAGGAAGAATCCGAATTTGGACTGATTCAAAATCGCCTTTAAGTATTCGTTTATATTATAAGAAATAATTACCCAAATCTCGAATTAATAATTTTGCTGACCTATAATAGTTGCATTTCTCTAGAAAAAAACTACCTATTATTATTAAATACAACTTTATACTCGTGTAGTATCAATTCAAGGGCATCCGCCCGACAAAAACAACGGAATTTGTTTGAGCTTATGTCTGTGACCCATGATGATTGTTTTTAAGACATCATTAATTAAAAAATACTGTCTATGCTGAAGTATGCAGAATAAATTATTTATAAATAATCCTATTTCTTTCAAATTAAACGCCGGGTGAAAGGTGAAACCTCAAGGAACAGCAAGTATATTAATTAAGTAGGTATATTTTTCGTCTTCCTTTATTTATTTGATAACGATAACTATAGTAAGTACCTTAAGTACCTTTGTTTGTTATGCTGATTGTGAGTATAAATAATTATTATTATTATCACAAATTTTCCACAAATTATTATTTCGGGGGAATCTACGTCACACTGGTTTTGGTGGGGTGGTGTTAAAATTTTAAATTTATAGCCAGTGCATACCTAGCATAAATTATACAGTTCCAACAGAACTACGAAAGAAACAACACGGAAAACCTTTCACTTTTTTGCTTGTAGCTGCGATTATGGGTAAGCCAATCTCTTATATTTTGTTAAAAGTATTTTTCACCTAATTACAATAATTGAAGGCTTTTCTTCCTCTGGTAAACATTATTGTAACATATAACATACTTTGCTTTATCGGTTATTGTGATGTGATGATGAATCGACACCAGGTATTTTTTTTTTTGTATTCTAAATTTAGTGCCTAGGTTGATCTTCCTTTATATCATACTCTAAAGACAGTGTTGCCAATGACCCGATAATTACCGAATTCTACCATAATTTTGACTACGATTCAATAATCGATAATGACAAGCTAATCTACCATAATTTATTGAAACTACAATTTTAATATAGATTTTTCAAATTATTTCTAGTTAAAAATTAATCGCTATATGCAACATCCTATTTAAACTTGAAAGCGCTTTTTAAAACTGGTACCTTTAAAAATTTGTATGGCTTAAAATGCAGAATCTTGAAAGTGACCAGTTTTAAAAAACGCTTTTAAGTTAAATGAGGATGTTGCATACATCTGTAAAAATTAATTAAAAAATTGAAGGTGGTTGTCGGTTTTGAGTGTTTTGACGTACTGGTGCGAGCACCAAACACTAGTCCCAGATTGAGCCAAAGTTTCATGCCAATAACTTCACTGGTTTCCAAAATATGGCCCTTTGTTATGAAGATTATTGTAACATTCAATCACAAATAGAGGCAATTGACGAGGGTGAGGAAAAGGATAGGGAAGTAATTGAGGGAAAATATTTATCAACATGGGCAAAGTTAAAATCTTTAATTAAACAATTTAGTCAAACAGCTACATCATCACAAAATGTGCAACAACCTTCCCCATCTCACATTCATCAGGGCAGTGCAAAGTTGCCAAATATCAATACGCCATTTTTTTCTGGTAAAGTCGAAGATTGGCAAGCTTTCATTGATTTGTTCACTGCGGTCATTGACAGTAATTCTTCATTGGACAATATGCAGAAATTTCTTTATTTAAAAGGGGCATTATCAGGAGAGGCCTTAAATTTGATCAATAATTTGCCATTGACAAATGATAATTACACCAATGCGCTTACTATTTTGAAAAACAGGTTTGACAATAAACTTGTGGTTATAAATTGTCATTTAAAAGGAATGTTAGATACGCCTCCTATAACTAAAGGTTCAGGTAAGCAAATTAGGGCGTTTCTGACTCACATTAGGCAGCATATTGATTCTTTAAAATCACTGAAGTTGCCAGTAAAGGAATGGGACGTTTTATTAGTATTTTTATTTGCTCAAAAACTTGATTTTCAAACCCATAAGGCATACGAATTAGAAAGAAATGTTGTTCAAGGTATTCCGGGACTCTCAGGGGTTTCTGCAGCGTTGCCAACGCTTGACCAGTTTATCCAATTTTTAGAAAATCGGTGCGTTGCACTCGAAAATGTGGAAGTTGATAATCACAAGGGTACAAATCAGATAAATAAGGATAAATTTCCAGATAAATACACAAAACATTCATTTTTTAGCCAAGAGCAAACAAATCAAGATCATGCAAATCAGGATCGTAAGCAAAATTGTTTGTTTTGCAATCGTGAGGGTCATAATTTAATTAAATGCTATAAATTTATTAGTAAATCATTATTGGAAAAAAGACAATTTGTTCAAAATAATAATCTCTGCTATAATTGCTTAGGGAAATCACATGGTGTTACACAGTGTAGGAGTAAGGGTTGTCAGGCTTGCAACAGGAGGCACCATACGTTGTTACATTCAGATGGAACTAATTCTGGTGGCACTGGGCAACAGGGTGGTCAGGGTCATGGGTCAGCTGATTCAAGTTGGAGAAATAGGGATAATTCGGGGGATAATTTAGAAAAACGGGACGATAACAAAAATAGGGGAAATTCGGGTAATCAAGGAAGATCTCAGAATTCACATTTAGGTGTATCAGAGGTTGAATATTTGGGAATATCTCACGGTGTAGATATGGGTATTTCAAGAAAACAGGAAATTCAGGAAAATGCTTTGATTTCAGCTGGGGTCACAAGGTCACAAGTTTTATTAGCTACTGCTCAAATTAATTTAATTATGAATGATGGAACAAAGGTTCAGGGTCGTGCCTTATTGGATTCAGGGTCCCAAATAAGTTTTTTAACCACGCATTTATTCCACAAATTAAAAGATGTGAATAGCTACACAAGAACTGTAAATATTGGAGGTATTGGAAATCGAGTGACACAGGTTGAAAAAATGGTGAATTTAAAGCTTGAATCTATGATTAATGATTTTCAAATTTGTGGGAGTTTTGCTGTTTTGAATTCTATTACATGTCATCTTCCTCATATGTCAGTTGATACTCAGAAATTAAAAATTCCAGGACACTTAAACTTAGCAGATCCATCATATTTTAAACCATCAGAAATCGATATGCTTCTTTCAGCCGAATTGTACTATCAGATAGTACTTCCTGAGGTATTAAGATTGGGGCCAAACCTACCGGTTCTTCAGAATACTCAATTTGGGTGGTTGGTTTGTGGCAGTGCACCAGTGGCACAAGGCTCTACCTGTGGTGCAAGTGTGGTAATCGACGAGGTTGAAAATGTTGACTTAAATGCTGGTTTATTCACGTCGAGTTTGTTTTGTCATTCTGACAATATAGATCTTAACGACTTGATCCCAAGGTTTTGGCAGCTCGAGGAAGTTATCAACAAAAGATTTCTGTCACCAGATGACAAACAGTGTGAGGCCATTTTTTCTGAGACTTGCAAACGATTAGAAAATGGGTCTTTTCAAGTTGATTTGCCAATGCGCACGAAAACTGAGCATCTTAAGTTGGGAAATTCTTTTGAACTAGCTTATAAACGGCTGCAGAATATGGAAACCAGATTTAAGAAAAATAATGAATTGTTTATTGAATACAAGGGTTTTATTGATGAATATGTCAATTTGGGGCATGGTAGATACGTGGATTCGGTTATCGATAAGATTGAAGCTAGGGTTTTTCTACCACATCACAGTGTCATTAGGCTAGATGCTACTTCAACAAAGTTGCGAGTAGTGTTTGATGGGTCAAGCAAGACGTCAACAGGTGTGTCTTTGAACGACATAATGTTGAAGGGTTTTCCGGTTCAACCGGAGTTGTTCGACATAATATGCAGGTTTCGAACGTTCAAATATGTTTTGTCTTCTGACATAAAAAAAATGTATCGCATGATACAAGTGAACCCGAATCAACGATTCCTGCAGAACATTTTGTGGAGAGATAATCCAGATGAGCCAGTCAAGGTAATTGAATTGCAAACTGTCACGTATGGGACAAACTCAGCGCCATTTTTGGCCACTCGATGTCTAAATAAATTGGCTTCTGATGAAGCAGTGAGTTTTCCACTTGCTTCGAAGGCTGTATCTCAGCAGTGTTATGTGGACGATATACTTTGTGGGGCGAACACAGAACATGAGGCCAGGGAGTTGAAGGTTCAACTAATCAACATGTTAAATTCAGGGGGGTTCACACTGCACAAATGGTGCTCAAACAATGAAAATCTTGTTGATTTTGGCGAAACTAGCACTGAAGAAAATCACGTGGACCTCGATATTGATAAATGTTCAAATAAGGTTTTGGGCATCTTTTGGTTTCCATTTCGAGATATTTTTCAAATTTCTATTCCAGATGTTACAACTGGAGATGGGTCCGTATTTACGAAAAGGTTAGTTTTGTCTCGCATTTCGCAAATGTTTGATCCCATGGGTTATGTGGGTCCAGTAGTAGTTATTGGAAAAATTCTGATGCAGGAAATTTGGGCAGAAAAATTGGACTGGGACGAAAATCTTCTACAAGAGATATTTCAAAAATGGTTAATATTTTCAAAAAGTCTTGGAAATTTGCGTCAGCTGGAAATTCCAAGATGGTTGTTTAGATCTCACATAATCACTGAGTTGCAAATTCATGGGTTTGCAGACGCATCTATGGCTGCTTATGGGGCCTGCGTCTATATAAGGGCAATTTATTCAGACAACTCAACTTCATGCAATTTAGTGTGTTCAAAATCCCGAATTGCGCCAATAAGAACAGTAAATCTGCCACGCCTCGAATTGTGTGGTGCACTTTTGCTTTCGAGATTGGTCCACAGGATTTTACCAATATTCGATCTAAAAATTAACAAGGTTTATCTATGGACAGACTCGACAATCGTTCTTGGGTGGATAAAGGCTTCACCATCGCGTTGGCTTACTTTTGTTTCTAATAGGGTGGCAGAGATACAAGAACTGACTAATAATTATCAGTGGCTGCATATTCGTTCACGGAAAAACCCTGCTGATTGTCTCTCAAGAGGCATTCAAGCGACGGATATTATTGGATACGACTTATGGTGGCACGGGCCGAAATTTCTTTTGAATTCAGAATCTATCTTCACGGAATTTGACTACTCTAAGGTTAAGGACGAGGATCTGCCAGAGCAAAGAAAGGTCGCTTTTACACTTATAGTTATAAAGGACGTGATTGATTGGCGAAGGTTTTCAAATTTCAATCGGCTCCAAAGAGCTGTCGCCTATTGTTTGAGATTCGGAAAAAGGGAATTGATCAAAGGTCCACTGGGCGTAGATGAATTAAAAAATTCACTTGTAAAAATTATGTCTCTGGTTCAGTGGGAAAATTTTTCACGAGAAATTGAAATTTTGAGGTCAAAGGGAGATTCAATTGACTTTTCGGATGACTTGTTGAAGGAAAGCAAACTTAAATGTTTAAATCCATTCCTGGATAACCAAGGGATTCTTAGAATCAATGGGAGATTGTCTCAGGCAAATCTTGAATACGACACAAGATTTCCTATTTTGTTACCTGCAAAGAATTATGTTACTCGGTTGATTATTCGTGCAGAACATTTAAAACTTTTTCATGCTGGTCCTCAGACTGTTTTGGCCAACTTGAGGTTAAAATATTGGATTATTCACGGTTTGGTAGAAGTCAAGTTTGTAACTCAGCGTTGCGTTATTTGTCACAAACTTAAGGCCAAGACTGCAAGTCAAATAATGGGTTCTCTTCCTTTGGATAGGGTCTCCGTAGCGCGTCCTTTTTCCAAGGTTGGTATTGATTTTGGAGGCCCGCTTAGAGTCAAACAATCTAGATTGAGAGGTTCAGTAACAAGTAAGGCATATATTGCATTATTTATTTGCATGGTGACGAAGGCTGTGCATATCGAGCTTGTGAGCAGCTTGAGTACCGAGGCATTTGTACATACTTTGAAACGATTTATCGCTAGGAGAGGGTGCCCTGTCACTATCTATAGTGACAATGCTACCAATTTTCAGGGCGCAAATAATGCACTTAGGGACATGTATCTGTTTTTCAAAACTCAGGACAATGTAGATAAAATACATACATTTTTGGCTGGTCAGGAGATTGAATGGCGTTTCATCCCACCAGTGAGCCCGCACTGGGGTGGATTATGGGAGGCGGGGATAAAATCTGTTAAATTTCACCTTCGCAGGATTGTGGGGACTCTGACTTTAACTTTTGAGGAAATCTCAACTGTGTTGGCACAAATTGAAGCCATTTTAAACTCTAGGCCGTTGTGTCCACTGTCATCGGATCCTTCTGATTTCAATTGCCTCACGCCTGCACATTTTCTAATAGGGGAACCTTTAATGTCAGCTCCTGAAAGAGAAGTATCTAACATTCCTGACAACAGATTAAATTTCTGGCAACTTTGTTGTAAAATTAGACAAAATTTTTGGAATCGGTGGTCAAGTGAGTATCTCACTCGTCTACAGAACAGGCCAAAGTGGTGCCAAGCTAATAACAATTTGCAAAAGGATATGATTGTACTTCTTAAGGAAGACAACACACCACCATTACAATGGCCGCTTGCACGAATCATGGAAGTTATGCCAGGATCGGATGGAAAGGTACGTGTCGCGAAAATTCGAACAAAAGGGGGCGTATTCACACGATCCATAACTAAGTTATGTCCCCTTCCCCTGCAGTAAATATTTGAAGTAGATACTTCAAAGGGGGGAGAATGTTGCATTTTCTGTTATTTGCCCAGTTAAAAGTTAAAATAAATTCTTTATTTCCAATACATTTCGCAGTATAATATTATTTTCATGGCGCCAGCCGTCTTTCCGAAATTTAATGCGTAGGTACCTAGTACATAGGTACCCATTTACCTATTTACCTAAACTCAACGAATCACGGAGCAGGTAAACAACCTTTTTTTTGCTTGTCCCAACTCGTCGCCTGCCTTTTGTGTGTGAATCTAGAATGCAGTTTTCAGTTTTACTTGTAATTTTAAAATCAGAATAATTGAGGCCATTGCGGCGATAACATTAAAAATGGTCTTAGAATTATACCTTGATTTTCATAGGCATAAAACCTAATTTAATAAAAATAGTTTGTGAATTTGTGCTGCTTTCAATTAAAGTTAATAATTAAACAGATTACATTAGAAACCAGTGTTTTCTTTGTGAATTATTGGGTCTCTGTTTAAACAGAGTGGTCCTTCGAGAAGTGATTTCATTATGTAGGTACTTAAAACCTGAAACAACAAAGGCAATCAAGGATACACAATGGCATTATCAGCAACCAGCGACTTAGCGACCAGGTAAATAGTTCAATATCGAACAAAATATTTGAAAATCAAATTCCCATGCATATACCCACCCCTTTGGAAAAATTCGAATTTTTAAATTTTATGAATTTTGCAATTTTTGACTTCACCAATCGAAAAAAGAGGTTAAAATTAGTAGAATAGCATTTTCGCAACTTTCCTTTTTGGGTTTTAAAGCCTTGTTAAAAAATAAAAACGATTTTTACAATTTTTGGGCTCAAAAAATTTCAATAATCTAACATTCTTTAACAAAATTGCTGATTACTCGGTTATTATTATAACAAATATGATATAAAATTATATATTCTAAATCAGAATTAAATTATCTTCAAGGTAAAATAAGATTCAATTCTATATCTTAAATACTTCTGAAGATATTGAGGCTCAAAGTTGAAATTTACCTCAAATTTTGCAAAAGCTTCCAGGTGGATTATCTTGAAAACGAAGCCCTTGGGCTCGGAGTCCTAAATAACCTTTTTTGTAGCCCTTATAAAGAGCTACAATTGGCCAAGAAATTCATGCCAATAACTTCACTGGTTTCCAAAATATGGCCCTTCGAAATATTTGGAAATCAAATTTCCATGTATACCTACCCCTTTGGAAAAGTTCAAATTTTTAAATTTTCAGTTTTTCGAATTTTTGACTTCACCAATCGAAAGAAGAGATATAAATTAGTAGAAATGTATTTTCGCAACTTTCCTTTTTGGGTTTTAAAGCCTTGTTAAAAAATAAAAACGATTTTTGCAATTTTTGGGCTCAGAAAATTTCAATAATCTGACATTCTTTCACAAAATTGCTGATTACTGGGTTATTATTGTAGCAAATATGATGTAAAATTATATATTCTGAATCAGAATTAAATTATCTTCAAGATAAAATGAGATTCAATTCTATATCTCAAATACTTGTGAAGATATTGAGGCTCAAAATTGAAACTTTACCTCAAATTTTGCAAAAGTTTCCAGGCGGATTATCTTGAAAACGAAGCCCTTGGGCTCGGAGTCCTAAATAACCTTTTTTGTAGCCCTTATAAAGAGTTACAATTGGCCAAAAGATTCATGCCAATAACTTCACTGGTTTCCAAAATATGGCCCTTCGAAATATTTGGAAATCATATTTACATGCATACCCCTTTGGAAAAATTCGAATTTTTAAATTTTTTTGAATTTTGCAATTTTTGACTTCATCAATCGAAAAAAGAGGTTAAAATTAGTAGAAAAGCATTTTCGAAACTTTTCTTTTTGGGTTTTAAAGCCTTGTTAAAAAATAAAAACGATTTTTGCAATTTTTAGGCTCAAAAAATTTCATCAATCTGACATTATTTCACAAAATTGCTGATTACTCGGTTATTATTTTAACAAATATGATTTAAAATTATATATTCTGAATCAGAATTAAATTATCTTCAAGATAAAATAAGATTCAATTCTGTATCTTGGATACTTGTGAAGATATTGAGGCTCAAAGTGGAAACTTTACCTCAAATTTTGCAAAAGCTTCCAGGCGGATTATCTTGGGCTCGGAGTCTTAAATAACCTTTTTTGTAGCCCTTATTAAGAGCTACAATTGGGCAAAAGGGTTATGCCAATAACTTCACTGGTTTCCAAAATATGGCCCTTTGAAATATTTGGAAATCAAATTTTCATGCATACAACCCCTTTGGAAAAGTTCGAATTTTTTAATTCTCAGTTTTTTGAATTTTTGACTGACCAATCGAAAGAAGAGGTTAAAATAAGTAGAAAAGCATTTTCGCAACTTTCCTTTTTGGGTTTTAAAGCCTTGTTAAAAAATAAAAACGATTTTTGCAATTTTTGGGCTCAAAAAATTTCAATAATCTGATATTCTTTCACAAAATTGCTGATTAGGTACTCGGTTATTATTGTAGCAAATATGATGTAAAATTATATATTCTGAATCAGAATTAAATTATCTTCAAGATAAAATAAGATTCAATTTTATATCTCAATTACTTGTGAAGATATTGAGGCTCAAAGTTGAAACTTTTCCTCAAATTTTGCAAAAGCTTCAAAGCCGATTATCTTGAAAACGAAGCTCTTGGGCTCGAAGTTTTGAATAACCTTTTTCGAAGCTCTTATTGAGAGCTACAATTGCCAGTGAAATAGAGATAAATAGTCAAAAAAGTTGACAGAAACTTTTTCTGATAATTTTTTTTGGAATCTGGTAATTTCTTGCTCAAATCCTGATAATTTTAAATTTGACATTTGACAACACTGTCTGTCTAAAGATGAAACAATAGCTTTATGATACATATCGAACTAGTATCATTAATAACTACGTACCTATGAGCTTTTCATAAGTGACGAGTGTTTCGATATGTTGCCGATGGTGATGATAGGTATACGTGGAATATAATGATAAAAATACATCCCGAGCACCTAATCATTCAGCTTATTATTCTTATCAATTAAACAAAATACATTCATACAGGTACCTACTTCAATAAATAATATTTACTAATTATTTCAAGATAAGATTATAAAATAAAATTTGTACCTATTGTTATTGAAAACGTGCCAAATACCTAAATAATTATCCATCATAAGGAATAAACATCCGAATGAGTATTTAGATGTTCCTTCAAATTGCCGATCCGTTTTAATTTCGCATTACAAGTATCACATTCGAAAGGATAAAATATCCGAGTGAATTTTTAGATATTTCTTCAAATATCCGATCCGTTTAAATTTTGCATTACATGTGTCACATTCGAAAGGATAAACATCCGAGTGAATTTTTAGATGTTGCTTCAAATTGCCAATCCATTTAAATTTCGCATTACAAGTATCACATTCGAAAGGATGATCATTCAAGTGCGTCTTTTAATATTTGCTCAAATCACCAATAAATTTAAATTTGGCTTCGCAGCTGTCATATTTATAGGGATAATCATCCAGATGTATGATAGAATGTCTTTTCAATCCTCCTTCATTTTCAAATTTTGCATTGCATTTATAACATTCGAAGTCCTACTCAAGTGATGATAATAAAAAGATTCTAAAGATTAATTTTTCCAGAGCGTGAAAAACCATTAACCCCGCTGCAATCACCTTGCAGTAGCATCGGATCAGGAGCATCCTCTGAGCAGTATGACTCCTGCGCATCTGCATTTTCTTTGGGCCCCAACACCGAACGCACGTTCCGGAGAACACGACGAGGCCTACAGCTTGATGAGCAACCCATCGATCACTCAGCATCTCCCACAGTGGGTCGTTGGGGCTGCGAATGGCCAAGCTGACTCGAGACAGCGGAAAGCTGCGCTCCAAGTCGAGCCCTTACAGGGCTTACAAGTACTTCTAACGAAGTACTTGCTAATCCGGATTCTTGCAATGCTGGCTTCGAACACTTAAACAAACGCATTGAGTACGATCAGATCGACGGTTACTGGCCACCAGCACATCCTTTACCTTTACCCAGATGGGCTGCAGAACCTTTAAAACCACACAAGTAAGTATTACACATTGGAATATAAGTATGAAAATTGAAAAAAAATCTGTTTTAAGGTTTAAAAACGTTAGAGAATATGAAGTTATTGCCGGCAAAATTGAAATGGAACTACAACACCTCTTGGAGCAGCACAATTATGACACTGTCGGCAATTTCTTGGAGTTGTATCAACATTTCAAAAAGAGCAAAATGAGGAGTGCAATTGAATTTTTCCATAAGTAAGAATTCATCTATATGTTTTTGCCATTTTTTATAAATGCATTACTCGGACTTTTTGATAATATACACTAATTTTTGTAATATCTTAATGTTGAAAGCTTCACCCAACAGAAATTCTTATTTCCATAAGTCCATATTTACATTAAATTTGATTATATCTATATTTTCAGTTTATTAATCCTCTATAATAATAATCACATTCCTGTTCAGGTACACACCAAAAATAACATCTGACCACCACACTTGTGTAGGCCTAGCCTTAGAATTGCGTAATCGCGTGGAAAAATTCGAAAAATCTTACCCCAACATCAAAGGCCACATTTGCATAGTATCTTGCGAAGAAAATATCGGTGCTGTAGATGTATACACAGCTTTGAGGGATACTTTTGACACCATGCCTTCCACTTTGGAAAAAGAACATTGCCTAATGTGCTTGAAATTTGAAATTAATGGCAGAAGTGGAGTGTTGCTATGCGATCCTGGCTACCACGTTGCTAGGGTTGTTACTGTTATGGCAGATGAAGCTTATCCTCATACAAGCTGGTTCACCCAATCTGAGGAGAACAATATTCGTAAAGAATATTGTTACTCATTTTGTACAGCTAAAAGTACTTTTGTTCAGTGGGACGAAAGAACTACTAAAAACGATAAACAAGAAAGTTTTACTGGGATTATTTATGTAGAAAGGCCGTACCTTACGGCAGTTGATGTAACAGAACGAAGAAATCTTATTTATTCATTCAGGAGTTTGTTATCCAGAGATCAGAAAGGTCACCTTATTGCCGGTGTGTATTTTAAAGTCAAACCCAAAAACGATGAGTTTACAGTGTTCTACCAGGATATGGGCAAGAAACGGGTGAAAATAAACTTTTCTGCACTATTAAATGCAGAAGTAAGTTTGTTTTTATTATTTTGAGAAATTATTATTAGGTAATCATATTATCTTTCAGATCAATGAAGATATATTGAAAAAACTGACAATTGCCAATGACCAGCTGCGCTTGCCCAAAGAAAAACTCTTGCGTATCCTTCAACAATGTGGAGAGCTTTTTAAGGACGAGCATTACTTGAAGGAAATTCTTGCTATTGAAAATCTCATAAGCGTTATGTCAGAAAACAACTAAATTCGATAAACGAGTTAATAGCTATATTGTACTAAGAAATCGCAAATTTAACTATATTTCCTAGAAACTTATGCATACTTTTTATTTTCGTTTCCATTAAAAAAATAATCACCTAGTTATTTAGATAAAATTATGCCCTAGTATATTAGTACAAGAAACGGGGATCTAAAAAGAGGGTTTACCTCAACATAATTAGAAGTTAACATTTTTTGGGGGGGATCGGTTAATTTTCATGTGCTTAATAACATATTAAGTTTGCGACCTTGTATTTCCATAGGGTTTTTAGTTAGGGGTAATTTGCGGTTTATGGAAAACGCTGCATAAAGGGATGGTCCAATATTTCAGCTACAACATTCATTTGAAACTTTTTGCTATCGGCCCATCCCTTTGAGCAGCGTTCTCCATAAACCGCAAATTACCCCTAAAAACCACCCCTAACTAAAAACCCTATGGAAGTACAAGGTCGCAAACTTAATATGTTATTAAGCACATGAAAATGAACCGATCCCCCCCAAAAAATGTTAACTTCTATTTATGTTGAGGTAAACTTCCTTCATTGCTTGGCCTATAATTACCTATGTTAAAAGTAAGATAGTTGACTGTAATAATTGAACAATATGCCACTTTAATAAACCTAGCAGCCAAAACATAAAACATAAAATATAAAATGACTGCGTATAATTTGTATTGATTCCGCGATTGGTTACTTGAGATTTGTGAAACATGATACCATTATGATAGGTACAGTCGGCAACTAAAGTAATGTCCCTCGATGTGCGGCAGCCTACTTTATTGCTACACAACTTGGCAACGGCGCCGGCGACGCGACTCGCAACCCATTGCGGCTAAATGTTTACAGTTTACATTCTTCTTCTTCTTCTTCTTCTTTAATAATGGCACTGCTCCTTTACGGGCAACTTGCCAGCTCATTCGTGGCAGGGTGACTTTGTCTGGCTCTCAGCCATATCAAACCCCGCGAATTGTTTGTAGAGTTCTGCTGTGGAGTAAGAGAACCGCCACCGGGGTTGGTTACCCGATCTTGGTTGATATGAGTATTGAATTGCTGTGTATTACTAATTTTAAGGGGTGAGGTGTTAACAAACAATACAACATAGGATACATACAATTGACACGGACAGCACAATCGATATTGGCTTGCTGAAAAAAGAAAGAAGACACTAGTTTCATAACTTTATTTTATTGTAGACAAGGAATTTCATAAGTATTCTGATTCTTGTTTCTGAGAGTTTTGATAAAATAAGAGACATATTTAAAGGAGGTTGAAGACCCGTTAAAACTATCTGCTGATAAATATCAAAATTGGGAATGAAATTGATTGGACACTCTAGGAAAATATGATCCAACGACTCTTCTCGACCGCATTCACAGTTCGGCTCCTCTTTGATGTTAATTTTATAGAGGTGAGATGATGTCAAACAATGACCCGTGCGCATTCTTATCATCGTTGTAATATATTTACGATTTACAAACTCGAAAGCCGTGAACCATTTCTTTTTGGGGAAGGAAGACACTATTCTTGAATAAAAAATGCCTTTAAATTTCAGTGAAGCCTGCCATAGCACATTGTGCTCCTCAATAATTTTCTCCTTTGCAATGCTTACTACCTCTGATCTGTCTAGGTCCATTTTCAATGGGACATTTAAAGCTGTGCCTATTTTGGCCAATTTGTCCACAGTCTCGTTACCCTCAATCTGTGAATGTCCCGGAATCCAGGCCACAGATATATCTGAGCCATTGTCATTGGCTATCAGAATCAGTCTTTTTGTTTTTAAAGACAAGTTATCCCTGCATGGGTCTAAGTCATTCTTGTCAATTTTCCCTATGGCTCCTTGGGAGTCTGAGAAGATGATAACATTTTTGATGCCCTTTTTCAAAACCACCTTCAATGCCTCATATATAGCAGCCACCTCCGCAGTACAAATACGAAGATTATTCGGGAGTCGGCATGAAAAATTATAATCAATTTGGGAATGTGTATCCCAAATCCAACCCTAGAGTTATTTTTTGAAGCGTCTGTGTATACAAAGGTATGAGTATTTTTAAAAGCAGAGGTAGAAGCTAGGAAATTTTTGTTTTGAGAAATTTCACTTTTTTTTAGATTTAGGTCAATTATTTTTATCGGGTTTATCAAAAAGTCAGTCTTTATTTCAAATATGGGGTAATGATTTGATCTATATATTGTTTTAAAATGAGGAAGGAGGTAATTATATGCTTGTATTAGGTATGGTGATTCTTTATTTTTCCAGAAATTTGCATTTCTGGCACACAAGTTTCTTAGTTGTTGAATTGTACGAATTAAAGGGTGATCATTTATAACTATGATTTTGCTCAAAAATTTAACAGCAAGGATTTTTCTGCGGTGTTCTAAATTTATTTCTGCAGCTTCCGATAGAAGTGCGTTTGTGGGAGTGGATCGCATGCAACCCAAAGCTATTCTCAAACTTTGCATTTGAGCTGTATCCAATTTTTTAAGAAAGGCAATACTACAGGGTTTAATGAAAATTGAGGCATAATCCAAATGAGATTTAATAAGACCATTATGGACCATTAAAAGAGTTTTGGGGTCTGCTCCCCACCACACTCTGCAGAATGCTTTCATTATATTAATTCCTTTTTGGGTTTTTGCGATCAAATACTCTATGTATTTATTCCATTTTAAATTTTTTTGAAAAATAGTTCCCAAGTACTTGGTTTCATTTTTGAAGTTTAAATTCACATTATTTATTATTATTGTG